ACAGTCCCCGTGCTCATCCAAACTAGGCACTCAGGGTCTGACATTAATATTCCTATCTTATTTTAGTTACACAAAACAATTAAAAGCCCTATTTTTCCTAACAAGTAAATTATTTTATCTCTGGATACAAGAGACTAACACCATCCATGTAGTCTGTGACACATTAGATATGTGTTATAGTCTCACTTATTCTAAGTATCATATAAATAAAACTTTAAATAATAGTATTTCCAGAGTTACCAGAAAAGATACAGCTTCTGATTTTTAGTATTTAGCCAGTTTACTTTTAAAACTTCTACGTAACAGCCTGGGCAATACCAAGGCCCCATCTTTACAAAAAAAAAAAAAAAAAAAAAAAAAGGGGGGGGGGGGTTAATTAGCCAGGCAAGGTGGTACACTCCTGTGATCCCAGCTACTCGAGAGGCTGAGGCAGGAGGATCACTTGAGCCTAGGAGTTCAAGGCTGCAGTGAACTATGATCACGCCACTGCACTCCAGCCTGGGCAACAGAGCAAGACCTTCTCACAAAAATAAATTTAAAAAAAAACACAAACTTCTACATAATAATAGTTAAAACTTTTTCAAGTACTTATATAAGAACATGATACTTATGTCTTTTAAAAGATAGAACACTCACTTCATCCAAATGATGGTTACTAGTTTTTCAAGTGTCCAAGAAGGATTAAAGATGCTTACCTGAAGAATGTTTGCTAATCTCAAAACCTTACAGATAAGCTGTTGTTGGGCGGGGCAGCTCACACATATAATCCCAGCACTTTGGGAGGCTGAAGCAGAAGGACTGCTTGAGCACAGCAGTTCAAGACCAGCCTGGGTGACACAGGGAGACCCCACCTCTACAAAATTAAAATTTTACAATTAGCCAGTCATGGTGGTGTGCACCTGTAGTCTCAGCTACTTGGGAGGCTGAGATGGCAAGATCACTTGAGCTCAGGAGGTCAAAGCGGCAATGAGCCATGATCATACCACTGCACGCCAGCCTGGGTGACACAGCAAGACCATCTCAAATACCACCACCAACAACAAAGAGTCTTCATCCCACCTGTCACCAGCTTGATATGCCCTATGAACTAAGAAATGGCTTTTACATGTTTAATGATTGAAACAAATCAAAAGAACACTTCATAACATAAAAATTATGTAAAATTCAAACGTTAGGTTATCAAGTTTTACTAGAACACAGCCAGACTCATTTTTTTAGTGCTTTCTATGACTTGTTTTGACAGAGACCACATGGCCTGCAAATCCTAAAATATTTACAATCTGGCCCTTTAGAAAATAAAGTATGGCGACCCTTGGTCTAGAGAATTAAATGAAGCCCATTCCTAAAAAACGGCTGGCAGATGCATCTCTTCCATCGACTTCTTTACTGCCTCAGAAATCCTCTTACTTGCTGAAGTGAATTTTAGTTATATCAGCCACTAAACCTGATTGTGAAGACAACCCTGACCTCTCTAAGTCCACTATGTCACCTAGAAGTGCAGGGTATGAGGCTACACAGCAAACTGCTGTGATTTTAGAAAACCAAAAGAATGATAAGAGTCTTAAAACAATGACTAAGGACTAAGAAACAGGACCAATTCTGTTCTTCAGTCCTTACCAACTTAGGAGTGCCTAAAAATTCCTCACTCAAATGACCAGAAATCAGTTGCCTTGAATTTTTAAAAAATTCTTTGTTAACTCCAGAACAGGTGAAATACAGCATACCTTATCTATATCTGCTTCAGATGCGTGGTATTGGCTGGGCACTGTGGCTCATGCCTATAATCTCAGCACTTTGGGAGGCCAAGGCAGGCAGATCTCAAAGTCAGGAGATCGAGACCATCCTGGCTAACAAGGTGAAACCCATCTCTACTAAAAATACAAAAATTAGCTGGGCATTTTGGTACATGCCTGTAGTCCCAGCTACTCGGGAGGCTGAGGCAGGAGAATCGCTTGAACCCGGGAAGCAGAGATCACGCCACTGCCTTCCAGCCTGATGACGGTGAGACTCCAACTCACAAAAAGAAAAAAAGATTAAACTACAGAGAAAATGTTCATATATGTTATTTTTAAAATAACCTGAAGGTTTAAGGAAAACAAGGTCTGGATGTGTTTTCTTCGTTTTGTTAGAATGTGGAAACTTTGAGACACAAAGATATAGGTTTATATAATTCATTTCATCAAGGAGGTATGTCTAGCCCAAAACTACATCCTTGCGTACAAGGCAGGAATTGCTATTTTTGCTTGTTTCTCTCTGTTTCATATGTGGAAGAATCACGGTAATGAAAGATGGATAATGACGCAGGCATCTTTTTAGATGAGCATCAGAGACAGGCAGAGGGCTGCTCTATCTACACAAGCCTTTATCTACCTACCGCACGTGAGGCTATGTTGAAATAGGAGAAAAATATCCCTGCTGTTGATAAGGCAGCCCTGAGCCAAAGGGACAGACACATAAATCAAGACCGGCCATGTGACTGTGCTTTTCATAGTGGAAATTAAATCTGACCATTAACCCTTTAATTCTCCAGATTCATCAAAGATGCCATTTGGAGTTCTTAACTTTGAAGTACAGAAATAGCTTCATCTGAACACAAACTTTGAGATACATGGGGGAAAAAAAAAAAGCCATTTTGCCAAATTAATTCAATCTAACTAATGAGAGAGCAGGAAGTTCCTTCAATTATTTTATGTGCTGTCTGAGAAACACACTTGAATATGAGTACAGATTTCATTAATTGCAGTTCATTATTTTCCAGATTAGTTACTAAACTTGCATCAGAAGGTCAAAGACAGCAATTTTGTCAGCTGCCACCTCTTTCAGCACAGTATTTTTGCATTTCTGGAACTCAGACAGAAATTGATTACAAACGAAAACAAATCTCCATAAAAATGAGGAACCTAAGTCCTTATGAATATGTTCAAACCAAAAGATCTTGTAAATTTTAAGAATATCTTTGTTTTTAAACCTTCTGAATAAACTATTGACTTCTGTCTTACAAAAAAATATCTAGGACCCTCTTCAAATCCGTTTGATAAACAGTATTAAAGTAGCAGGAAAATGGTAACGTCTTCACCTGACAACCTGCTGACTCCAAGGACAGGTTAATAAGCCTGCAGGTTTTCATGAGAGCTTTGCTGAGGTTATGGGTCTGTGTATCTTTGCGTGAGGGAGGGAACTGAACGTTCCTGTCTGAAAATGTCAAGGACATTCTAATTGAAAGTATTTTTTGATAATAATCATTCCGTCATTACACAACTTGTACCTCTTCCCACTTAACAAAATACAACGAATGACTGGTAGAAACAGGACCCATTCTGTTCCTCAGTCCTTACCTGGACTATTTTATAGTCTCATAAACTTCCTGTTTTTATTTTATTATTTATTATTATTTTTTTTTTTTTTGAGACGGAGTTTCGCTCTTGTTACCCAGGCTGGAGTGCAACGGCACGATCTCGGCTCACCGCAACCTCGCCTCCTGGGTTCAGGCAATTCTCCTGCCTCAGTCTCCTGAGTAGCTGGGATTACAGGCACGCGCCACCATGCCCAGCTGACTTTTTTGTATTTTTAGTAGAGACGGGGTTTCACCATGTTGACCAGGATGGTCTCGATCTCTTGACCTCGTGATCCACCCGCCTCGGCCTCCCAAAGTGCTGGGATTACAGGCGTGAGCCACCGCGCCCGGCCTTTATTTTATTTTTATCTGAGACAAACATGTGCCACCACACGCAGGTTTTTCTTCTTTTTCAGTAGAGACAGGGTTCTCATTATGTTGCCCAGGCTGGTCTCAAACTCTGGAACTCAAAGTGATCTGCCTGCCTTGGCCTCCCAAAATGCTGAGATAACAGGTGTGAGCCAGCGCGCCCAGTCTAACTTCCTGTTTTTATGTAACAGAAATCCCCCCCCACCCTTTTTTTCCTTTTAAGAGAGCCAGGCTGAGATGGGAGGCTCCCCTGAGCTCAGGAGGTTGAGGCCACAGTGAGCTGTGATAGCACCATTGCACTCTAGCCTGGGCGACAGAACAAGAGCCTGTCTCAAAAAAGCAAAAAAAAGCACGTTGCTGTCTATAAGCCATTCTCCTACTGTCAGCTGTCACCATTCTCTCGGTTAATTTCATTTCTATGGTCCTAGGAGCCTCCCCTGCTTTAGCAAAACCATCCCTGAGATTCCTTCCCTCCCTGGTGCTGGTATCCCTTGAATGCTTATATAGTCAGCTCTCTCATGTTTGGTGAAGCTATAAATAACTCCTTTAATCCTTCCTCATAAATCATTTTTGATGTTATTCTCTGAAACAATTCCAAATGGTCACTGCATTTCTAGTAGTAATAAATTCAGAACCAAGTACAGTAATCTAAGTGGCATCTAATAATATCAAAGAGAGCCCAGGTTGGGGGCTGGGGTTTTGTTTAGAGGGGACAGTGTGAGTTTCTACATTATTAAAACTGCTTCAGACAAGTTTTAAGTCTCCAAACTAAACTGGAATAAAGAGATATGTGAGAAACTGAGGCAGGAGGATTACTTGAGGCCAGGAATTTGAGACCTGTCTCAATTAAAAAAAAAATTTTTTTAATTTAAATTTTAAGTGAGCCGTGCATTCCAGCCTGAGCAACAGGGCAAGCCCTAGTCTCAAATAATAAAATAAAAACCAGTTTCAGTACCTTTCATGACAGATGGGAAATGGGAGAGAGAAACCGTCTGAGAAAGTGTTATTAAACATAACCCGCTTGGCTTCCACATCAATCCCCAAACAATTTGTGGTGTTTCATTTTTGTGCTGTTTCATGTTATAACCCTTAAGGGATTTTAGCTACCTGTCCTAAGTCTTTATGCAATATTAGCAGCAATATTTCCCCTTCCTATATTGTAGTATTGATCCAGATTCTTTCTAGACATATGATTGAACATGTATTTTTCTAGATTTCACCTTGATGTTACCTAAACATTTAAATATCTGCTACTGCTTATTTTGCAATCATTTAATGGTCATAGACCATTGAAGCTGGTGCACTAACAGGCACTAGCAAATAAAAATAAAACACAAGGCTCAAAACAGAGAGGAAGGTACCGGGGACTTGTGCATTTCTTTAAGCTGCTGCATCAAGAGGAAGGTTGCAGGTACTTGCAAATTTCTTTAAGATGCTGCATAGAGAGGAAGGTTCTGGGTTCTTGTCTATTTCTTTAAGGTGTTGCAGAGAAAGGAAGGTTCCAGGTACTTGTGTATTTCTTTAAGCTGCTGCATAGAGAGGAAGGTTCTGGGTACTTGAGTATTTCTTTAAGGTACTGCACAGAGAAGAAGGTTCCGGGTTCTTGTGTGTTTCTTTAAGAAGGTTCCGGGTACTTGCATGTTTCTTTGAGGTGCTGCATAGAGAGCAAGGTTCCGGGTATTTGCATGTTTCTTTAAGGTGCTGCATAGAGACGAAGGTTCTGGGTACTTACATGTTTCTTGGAGGTGCTGCATAGAGAGCAAGGTTCCAGGTACTTGCATGTTTCTTTGAGGTGCTGCATTGAGACGAAGGTTCCGGGTACTTGCATGTTTCTTTGAGGTGCTGCATTGAGACGAAGGTTCTGGGTACTTGCATGTTTCTTTAAGGTGCTGCGTAGAGACGAAGGTTCCGGGTACTTGCATGTTTCTTGGAGGTGCTGCTAAGTCCAGCACTGTATACTGCACACAGAACCACAGCCACGCCAGTCTGCATGCAGGGCAGTCCAGCCACCGCCAACATCCATTCTGCCTCATGCTTACTTGACTGGTGACACAGAGGAAGGTCATGGCTGCAGTGCCACTGTATTTCCATAATGTATCTAACAGTCTCCCACAAGCTCTTTGGTGGAAAGAGGGAGCAGCCTGAGTGGAGAAGGTAGTTACTGGCTACATGGGACTGAAATGTGTTTGTTGGTCAGTCACTCTGTGCCTTGAGAAGGATGTCTGCTTGCAGGCACAGAGCTCTGCCTCAGACCCTATCATGTTCAATATTTCAGTACTCTCAAATGCAGACAGACTATACCTTTACAAGTGTGCGGACGGCCAGACTGTATGCACTTTTTAAAAAAAATAATTACTCAAAATGATCTTGATATCCTGGGAATGTTAAAACAACATCAAAGGTAAAAAATTCTAGGAATGAATCTGAAGTGCCTCATTATTTTCACACATCAAGGAGACCACATAATAATAAAAGAGAAGTAGTACAGTGACAAGAGTACCAGTAGGCAAAAAGCCTGGCGATGTTGCCTGACCAACAGCACAATGAACTAACACCTCCTTCCACAAACAAGCCCAGCCAAGCGCAGTCCCAGGCTGCCCTGGTAGAGTCCACCATTTAGAGGAAGGAAATACTTCCACCATTTGCAAGTCCGGGGAACTCTCGCTTCTGGATTCCTCACTTTAGGCAGGACCCTGGCGAAACAACTGAAGAATGACAAAGCATTTCCCAGATGAGATATGGGAGACTCATCTAGAGCTGTTAAGACCAGGGAGGCCTGAGAGAACAAAGATCCTAAGAGCAATCATCATGCCGCCACACTCCAACCTGGGCAACAGAGCAAGACCTTGTCACAAAAATAAATTAAAATCAAACTTCTACATCATAGTTAACATTTATTCAAATATGTGTATAAGAAAATTAGACATAGCTGTTTTAAAGGATATAATACTCACTTCACCCAAAATAATGGTTATTCATTTTTCAGGTGTCCATGAAGGATTAAAGATGGTTACCTAAAGAATGTTTGCTAATCTAAAAACCTTAAACATAGGGTCTTGCTGGTGGGGCAGCTCACACAGACGGTGCTCCCCACTCCTTTTACTTCCTGGTAAGAACAAACTCTGAGGCAAAGATTAGTTGGAAAAATGATGACCTCGTTCCTGGAGGACCCCCAGGAGGGGGAGTAGAGAGTGTTTTAGAAGTCCAAACTTCAGACTGTAGGTATCAAATCTGATTTCAAGTGCATGGAATTCCATGATAATAAAGATTACTGTATTTCCAAAATGAGGAGCACTAAAGGAGCCGTCTTCTTCCGGCTATTTTTCTTCTTCCTATTATTTTCAATTCCACAGGCACTAAAATGCCCATTTCCAAGGATGAAACACACTTCAGAGTACAAGTGAAAGCATATTTAATGCATATTTAAAGTATATTTAAAGCATACTTAACGTGTGTTTCACTTGTTGCACCCTGAAGTGTGACCCAAGTTAGGAAAACTATTTTATTGATATTACCATCTACAATCCCTATTTCTCACAGAGCTTTAGTAGAGATGGTCAGTGAAAATGAGATAACCAAGAGCATCTCTGACTGACTATATCCAAAACGGAAAGCTCAGATTTTTCTCTCTTTAGCACTTCCACCAACCTAGGAAAGAAGGTTCTTAAATATGTCTTCATTCCTCCAATCCCCACTTAGCCATGCTTCTTTCACCTCTAAGCTGTAAACTCAGTCCTATCTACCACTGAGTAACACCTGGGCCCTACAATCTAATATTATAGTCTGGGTACAGTGGCTCACGCCTGTAATCCCAGCTACTTGGGATACCAGGCAGGAGGATGACTTGAGCCCGGGAGTTCGAGACCAATGTGGGCAACACAGCGAGACAGTCTCTAAAAATAAAAAATTTTTTAAAGTGAGCTGGGCGTGGTGGGGCACACTTGTAGTCCTAGTGCCTTAGGAGACTGAGGCCGGAAGATTCCTTGAGCCCAGGAGTTCAATGCTGCAGTGAGCTATAATCCCACCACTGCACTCCAGACTGGACGACAGAGCAAGACTCTGTCTCTAAAATAATAATAATGTTATAATCTGTTCATATGTCAGTCAAACAGTATACATTCTGCATCTTCTATGTACCAGGGGATCATTGATAAACATATAAACCCAAAGATAAACTGCAGATAAAAGCGTTAGAAATGGGCCAGGTGTGGCGGCTCATGCGTGTACTTCCAGCACTTTGGGAGGCTGGGGCGGGTGGATCACTTGAGGTCAGGTGTTCCAGACCAGCCTGGCCAACATGGTGAAACCTCATCTCCACTAAAAACACAAAAATTAGCCAGGCATGGTGGTGAGCATCTGCAATCCCAGCTACTCAGGAGGTGAAGGCACGAGAAACCCTTGAACCTGCAAGGTGGAGAGTACAGCGAGTCAAGATCATGCCACTGCACTCCAGCCTGGGCAACAGAGTGAGACTGCCTAAAAAAAAAAAAAAAAAAAAAGAAAAAGAAAAAGAAAAAGAAAAAAAGAAAAGAAGAAAAGAAAAGAGATAACGTAGTGCCTGCATGTATGCATGGTGGAAGCTGTTTTGGTTTGGCTGTTCAAGAAAGCCGACTCTAGACTCAGACGTCCTTCCTCGGAGTGGCCTTTCCTGATTGTTCTACGGGAGGCCTTTGGGAAGAGCAATCTGAGTGTGAGGCAGAGCCAGCGCCAGGGCTCTCTAGACTGAAGGCGCTTGGCATGCTCATAGGCTAAAAAGGCGGATCATCGGGCTTAGTACTGGTGAGCGAATAAAGAAGAATGAAGATTCCAGGCCAGGGTACAGACCCTGCAGGGCGCTATGAGCCACAGTAAGAAATTCCCACTTCGCTCCTTTCAGTGGGAGCGCTGGCAGGTGTCACACCACTGAGGACTGCAGGGCTGCCAAAGATCTTTCTGGCTACTCTGTTTAAACAGTTAAAGTTGCAGAACTGATTGAGATTTATGCATGGAAGAAAATAGGTTCACGGACAAAAAGGAGGGCCCCAGTTGGAGCTCTGGGCACTATATGTAAAGGCTTGATGGAATCTATAGTCCCAGGAGAGGATCGGGGACCGAGGGAAGGGAAGCCAGGCAAAGGAAGGTGCACGGAAGCCTGGAGGTGGAAGTGTTTCCAGCATTATGTTGACGCAAAGTCTGCATGATAAGGACAGACGGCGTGGGCAAGGGGGAGCTCCCTGGCGACCCTGAGAAAAGGGAAATGCGTTCCAAGGAGCTGAGATCTCACAAACCAACTGGAATGTTCTGGCTCTACTAGAACATTCTACTAGTTCTACTAGAACTACCAGGTCTCTTCATTAAGGCCAGTTTTAGATTTACATATTTTATATATTTTTATTTTTATTTGAGACAGAGTCTCTCTCTGTCGCCCAGGCTGGAGTGCAGTGGCGCGATCTTGGCTCACTGCAACCTCTGCCTCCTGGATTCAGGTGATACTCGTGCCTCATCCTCCTGTGTAGCTGTGACTACAAGAGCACACCTGGCTAATATTCTGAATTTTTAGTGAAGACAGGGTTTCGCCATGTTGGCCAGGCTGGTCTCAAACTCCTGACCTCAGGTGAGCCACCTGCCTTGGCCTCCCAAAGTCCTAGGGTTACAGGTGTGAGCACCACACTCAGCCATATATTTTATATTTTTATGAAATACAAAATACTTGTATGAGGTCAGTTTTCCCAAACCTTTGCTTGTATGTGCTCAAACAATAAATGAACAGACTGGAGGAAATGAACAAAAATTGTTTTAAGAAATCTACGTATTTCAAGGTAACCTCTAACCTGGGGATTATAAATTATAGTTATTCTCCAATCACTACATTTATTCTAACACACTGTTGCTCCTCTCACATCCACAGAGGGCTAATCACTCATTGCCAAAACAGTAAGAGCATAAATAAGTTCTACAGGTAGCAGGTGACGCGACTTGCGACATGGAAAACTGAAAAGAGCTTTAAAGGAGAATGGTAATGACGGCAGGCTGGCTCCATGACTTCCAACACGATTCCAATTTCCTTCAACCGACATGACTTTGCCTTCACTACACAGCAACTGAAAACACTGGTTACCAGACTTTACCGAATAAGAATCATCACAGGCACTTATAAATCCAGATTACAAGGCCTCTCCAAGTTAGCTATCGGTTCCTAGGGCAGGCTGAGAAACTTTTTTAAAACAGCTCCCTTGGTAAATCTGACAGACAGTTCATGAATCACACTTTGTGAAACAACGACACAGAAGTTTAGAACTGAATAATGTACACAGTAACGACCACTGGTTCAGTTCTAGCGGATCTCCGGGGAAAGAAAAACCTGGGAAAAATCACCAATGTTCACTTCAGGCCCTGCAAGACGCAGCTCCTGCAGTCACAGACTCATTTCAGCAACTCATAAGCCCCCCACATGTCCCGTTCAATACAGTTTAAATAGAGGCAAAATCTTGGTTTTACTATTTCCATCTACTGCATATATGTGTATGCTTATTTACATGCTTAAAGCTAGATTTTTAAAAATTATGTATCTGTACAGCAGCCCGATAAAACGAATTCCTTCTCCCTGAATATGCATTCATAAACTTAGAAAATTCTTTCAAATAGCTAAGTCTCAGACGACTCACCTGCATTTCTGCAACTCGAATGTTTAGAAGAACATGGAGAAGCTGATGTCAAAAGACCTATTTTGACAACAGAACTTGCCCTGTATGTGTTTTCGAATGAGTATAAATAAATCCTCATTTATCATTTTCTGCTGAGTTAACACCTATATAAGGCTGGAAATTGCATTTCCAGTGGGTTTCCCATTTACGGTTGCCTAAGAGCAGCTTCCTGATTGTTGGGAAAACCCTTTCACGTTTGCTCTAACGCTTACCCTAGGGCTGGGTAAAGAGTTTTAAGAAAAAAGGCGGTAAGAGAGGTGATCACTGTTCAGTGAAAGAACAGGTTGTCCACAGTAAAGAAAAAAGAGGTTGAGAGGGAAGGGCAGTCATGATATAAAATTGTTTGAAAAAAGAAATGAAATCAAGAATTAAAAATAGAATTACATTTTCTACTTGGCAATACACAAACAATGCTAAGTGCACTTCATAAATTTTACTACTGTTGCTCTAAGTGATATTACCATAAATCACATTAGCAGTGTCCTTGGCACCTTTTAAAAGCAGAAAGGAGGGAGCGTGTCCGTAAGTTTAAACAGCTCTGTTATCTCTGAAGAGAGCGGAGGAGAAATGACCGACAGCTGTTCCTGAGTTTAAAAACAGGGTTTCGCTCCCCTGCCCCACCGCTGCGCCTCCACCTCTAGCTTGGGCGCAACACAGAGTGCCCATCTATTAGAAAAGCGTTCACGGCTGCCTTCTCGGTGCTCTTTACCTGGTGTGTGAGGGGAGACGCCCGCTTGCCCCTCTTCTCATCGCGGACGGGAAAGAGAGACTTGAGGAGCTTTGGCATCTGTGGCACGAAGGACTTGACGGGATTCAAATAGGACGCAGCGAGGTTACCGAGTCCTGCCCGTGTTACAGGGGAAAATGAAAACAGATACAATTACACACACATTTTCTTTCCTGTACATTTGCCATACGTCACTTGTCAGCAAATCTAACAATAAAACCCAAAGGTATCCTTAAAAAATATTAGAGAAACAAATTATTGTAGTTTCCGTAATTTCCCTCAAACACAGTAATGTCCCTTTTCCAATTAAAGAGCTATAATTGGGGTGCTGCCAAAATGCTCCAGTATGCACTGGTCTTATCAGCATCAGAACAGTAATTCACCTCTATCCCATCGCTAACGGGCATAAGCTTTCACTTCTGCCCTAGAATAAAATGGGACTGATTTTAAAGTCATACTGCCAATGACACACATGTAGAGCTCTCTGTCTAGACTTTAAGCTCTTTGAAGTCAGGGACTATGTCTTATTGAATCTAATTTTTCATAACTATTTTCTGAAGGAAGATGATGAAACTGACCTTTTGGGAAGTTGTTTATTACAAGTTAGGGAGAGACACCTTGAACAACTTACCTTTTTACCTGCTGTTAATTTCTAAAAGCTTGAATCAGAGGTACAGACAGGTATATCTATGATACACTAAGATTTCTTCTCCCTATTAATTTATAGTAAAATCTAATCCAAGTCATAGGTGATAAAAAGCTGTTCACATAACATTTAGAAATGAACAAGCAAGTCACCTTAAGGAATACATTTGCCTCAACAGATAGACACAACTGCCCCCAAATCTCTACTCCATACTAACCCCTGAAAGGATTCCAAACTTACTGGAAATTCAGTTGGTAAATGGATGGATACCAATGTAAGCTTTCTACATTTTACAGAAAGCAGTAGAATACTAAGTGTAAGTATACTGCGAAAAGTTAAGGATATACATTGTAACCATGAGGGCCCATGAGAACCACCACTGAAAAATAAAAAAGCAAAGAGATGGCTATACCATGCCAAGAGATACGTCGTAACTCAGTTTAGAAAAATCAAATCATTTACAGGAAGGCAAAAACAAGGATGAGAAAAATAAAAGAGGGGAGACAGACATAAAATAAGTTTAAGATGAATAAAGATCCCAAAGGAAGAAACCACACAAGTAATCTAGAGAAGTAGTCATCAGAGCACTAGCTGACCACGGGGAGTGGGAATTAACTGGAGTCCTGTCAATGTCCTACATTTTGACTGGGGTATGAATCACCTGGGTGTATATAAATACATTTGATAAAACTTATTAAATACAACCCACGGTCAACAAAATAGGGGGAATAAATCTTAGTGTATCATAGGTATACCTGTCTATACCTCTGATCCCAGCCTTTGGAAATTAACAGCAGGTAAGAATGTATTATTAAGTATGAACCACAGTCAATAAAGGAGTCAATAAAAATAGACCATGAGATGTCTAGATACCGGATTTAACAATTATTTTAAGGCAGCTTTCTTAAACAAGTCAAAGGATGCAAAGGAGAATACAGTCTTGACAAATGAACAGACCGGGAATATCAATGGAGAAATTAAGACCATAAAAGCAGTAGCAAATGGAAATTCTGGAACTGAAAACAACAACAAAGAAGACTGAAATGAAAAATTCCCCGGATGTGCTTAACAGAGCACTGGAAATCACAGAAAAAAATTATCCAACCAGAAAACATAAGATTAAAAGGTTAATTAAGAAAAAAAAAAAAAAAAAAAAGGGCCAGGTGTGGTGGCTCATGCCTGTAATCCCAGCACTTTGGGAAGCCAAGGTGAGTGGATCATAAGGTCAGGAGTTCCAGACCAGCCTCACCAAAATGGCAAAACCTGGTCTCTACTAAAAATACAAAAAATTAGCTGGGCGTAGTGGTAGGCACCTGTAATCCCAGCTACTCAGGAGGCTGAGGCAGGAGAATTGCTTAAACCTTCACGGCAGAGGTTGCAGTGAGCTGAGATCATGCCACTGCACTCCAGCCTGCGAGACAGAGTGAGACCCTGCCTCAAAAAAAAAAAAAGAATAGAGCCTCTGTGACCTGTAGGACAGTATGCAATCTAACCTGTGAGTAATCAGATTCTCAGATGAAGCAGAGGAAAAGGAAAGGCAGAAAAGTTTTAATAAATAATGGCTAAATATTTCTCACATTTGTTGAAAAACATCAACTTACAGATCCAAGAACTTGACAAGCAAGTTAAATACTAAGAAAACCACACCTAAGCAAATCATAGCAAAATTGCCACAAAGATTAACTTCTGAAAGCAGGCAAACTAAACTAAGCTATCACACTGAGTGGGAAGTGTCAAATGATGGCTGAATTGTCAGCATAAAAGGAGGGGCTGGAGATGAGGAATTATCTTTGAAGTGCTAAAGGAAAAAGGACTGCAACCGAGAGTTCTCTAACCAGTGAAAATATTCTTAAAACAACAAAGAAACAAAACAGTGAAATGAAAACAATTTCAAAAAAGGAGAGCACTTTGAAGGACTGTACTCTAAGAAATACTAAAGAATGTTCTTTGGGCTAAAAAGAAATAAAATCAGATGAAAATATTTCTGGCAGTGAGCCATGATTGCGTCACTGTACTCATGCCTAGGCAACAGAGTAAGACCCTGAAATAATCTGGAAAAAAAAAATAACCATCTTTTCTGTATTCTCTTAATGTGCTTAACAGACAAGTGGCTTTTTTTTTTTTTTTTTAAGACAAGAGTCTCACTCTGTCACCCAGGCTGGAGTGCAATGGGGTGTGATCTTGGCTCACTGTAACCTCCGCCTCCCAGGTTCAAGCAATTCTCCTACCTCAGCCTCCCGAGTCACTGGGACTACAGGCACCTGCCACCCCGTCCAGCTAATTTTTCTGTTTTTAGTAGAGACAGGGCTTCATCATGTTGGCCAGGCTGGTCTCGAACTCCTGACCTCAAGTGATCCAACCTGCCTTGGCCTCCCAAAGTGCTGGGATTTTATAGGCGCAAGCCACTGTGCCTGGCCTGAGCTTTTTTTTTTTTTGAGACAGGGTCTTACTCTGTTGCCTAGGCATGAGTACAGTGACGCAATCGTGGCTCACTGCAGCCTTAACCTCCCAGGCTCAGGTGATTCTACCACTTCAGCCTCCTGAGTAGTGAGACCAGTGTGCGTCACCATGCTTAGCTGATTTTTCTATTTTTCGTGGAGACAGGGTTTTACCATGTTGCCCAGGCTAGTCTCAACACCCAGCCTTAAGCAATCCACCCACCTCAGCCTCGCGAAGTGTTAGGACTGTAGGTGTGAGCTATTGCACCTGGCCTAAAGTGGCTATTTTAAAGCAAAAGGAACAACATTATAAAGTGAGGTTTCTAACATCTATAAACGTAGAAGAGGAAACAACCGTACAAAATCGGGGGCCTAGAGGAACAGGTCAATGATTTATAGTGTTGCATGGTTCCTGTACTTGTGAGGCGGGGAGTGATATCATATTAACTCTAAGAAGATTTGGCAAGTTAAGAATGAAAAGTATGGTTTCTGAGCAAAGACTTTAGCAAACAAGTACAGGTGTCCCAAAAAGCAAAAAGAGGAAATAAAATGCAACACTAAATATTTATTTGATGAATCCAAAAGAAGGTAAATAAGGAGTTACAGTGAAACAAAAAACAGAACAGCCAAGTAGAAAACCAATAATAACATGGCGGACCTCAATAGCAGGCACTGGAAGGGGTGAAACACGCCAATTAAAGGGCAGGAACTGTGAGATGAGATTCAGGGGAAAGAACTGGACCCAACCATATGCTGTCTACAGGGCAATCACTTTTAACTTAAAGACAAATACATGCTAAAATGTAAAAGGCTGAGAAAAAGACACACTGTGCAAACAGTAAATAAATTTGATGCAGTTATATATGTATAAATGATAGGTAAGGAAAATTTCAAGGTAAGAGTATCTCCAGAGATGAAAGGGACATTTCATGATAGAAAGGTCACTTTATCAGGAAGATTTAACAATCTTAAATGTGTATGTACCTAATTAGCAGAGTTTCTAAGTGAATGAAGCAAAAACTGGTATAAAGGGAAATACAATTTTCACAATCATATTTGGATATCTAACGCCCTCTCAAGAACTGATAGAATAGGCCTCCACCAAATCATTAAAGATCCAGAGGATCTGAACAGGAAAATGAACCACTGACCTAATTAGATACACACAGAACCCCATGTCCCCAAATACAGTAGTGCACACAGAATATTAACCAAGGAAGAACACAATCTGGAATATAGATTACCCCCAATATAGAAGAAGAATTCATGCTATTTGATAACTCACAGATCAAAGAAGCAATCACAGGGAAATTTTAAAATACTCTGAAGAGAATGAAAATAAAAGCACAATATACCAAAAACATGAGAAATGCAGAAAGATTTTAAAAATCAACTGCAACAGAAAATAAAACTAAGAAAGTCAAAAACTGGTTCTGAGATTAATATATCTGATAAATCTGTTCTATAAGTATTCAAAACAGAAAATAAAAATTATCAGTATCAGAATAAAAAGAAGGAGCATCACAAGAGATCCTACAAATAAAAAATCAGGTAAAGTGATGTTTATGAAAATAAACTTAATAATCTAGATGAACTAAGAGGTCCCTTGAAAAATATAACCTATGAGAGCTGAGGACACACAATGATCTAAATAAATATTCCTGTACTAGAGAAACTTGCTGGGCGAGGTGACTCACACCTGTAATCCCAGCACTTTGGGAGGCTGAGGCGGGCGGATCACCTGAGGTCAGGAGTTCAAGACCAGCTTGGCCAACATGGTGAAACCCTGTCTCTACTAAAAACACAGAAATTAGCTGGGCATGGTGGCAGGGACCTGTAGTCCCAGCGACTCGGGAGGCTGTGGCAGAACAATCACTTGAACCCAAGAGGCAGGGGTTGCAGTGAGCCGAGATCATGTCACTGCACTCCAGCCTGGGCAACAGAGTGAGACGCTGTCTCAAAAAAAAAAAAAAAAAAAAAAAAGAAAGAAAGAAAGAAATTCAAGTCATAATTTAAAATCTCCCCATCAAGACAATTCCAGGCCAGAGCATGTAACTAAAGTCCTTAACAAAGAGATGCCAAGAGAGTCCAGCAATGTGCAGGCTGACACATCATGAGCAGGCGGTATTTATCAGAGCAATGCAAGATGGAGCCAACGTTCCAGAGCCAATGGAACTCCACCTGCTAAGATGAGAAATGAAACAGTTCGGACGGTCATTATCTAGAACAGCAGCTGCCTGGCAGGAAATACGAAGTTTCTGAAAGATGCTCAGATTTCTGACAGTAATTGACAAGTGAAAAGATAACTTACCTGGATCCCGAGAATGGTTATTTTGGGGAGCAACAGAGAGGACGGGAGCTGTTCCCCTGGAAACTGCGGTTTGGGATACATCCTGCTGACTTTCCCACCGGCCCTAGTAAAGACAAAATTGGCAATTTTGTTTCAATTAACAACAAAAAAAAGTACAGATACTCAAGACAAAAAACCATTATGTATCACTAAAGTTCCTTTGTAGAATATAAGCTTGATTACATAAGCACTTTTGTTTTCTCTATTTTAAGACACAGGGTTTCTCTCTGTCACCAGGCTGGAGTGCAGGGGTGCCATCACAGCTCATGTAACCTCCAACTCTTAAGAGTCAAGCAATCATCCCGCCTCAGCCTCCAGAGTAGTGGGGACTAGAGGTACATGCCACCACACATGGCTATCTTTTTATTACTTTTGTAGAGACGGAGTGTCACTATGTTGCCCAGACTGGTCTCGAACTCTCAGCCTCCAGCAATCCTCATTCCTTAGCCTCTCAAAGTGCTGGGATTACAGGTGTGAGGCACCCTGCCTGACCAGCACTTTTCTTCTGCTTGTCATCCTGCTTGTTGTATTAATTTCCCCAACAACAATACCCCCTCATTGGGACAGCCCCTCTATACAGCAGTTTACAATCTCCCATTCAGCTACATCCTACTATGTGTTCTACCCTGGGCATCCTGTTGTCTCCCACAGAAGACGGATGTATTCCTTCTGCAATTCTCCCTTCGGTTCTGCTTTGAGGCCACGTCTGCTCTTTTGCCTCGAGATACCCTTTTTCACTCAGTTCTCCATGGAAACCCACAAACAACTCTTTAGTCAGAGGGTGTCTCTCCTCGCCACTCCTAGACTATGCTTCCACTGACTCACATGTAGGGCATAACAGTAAATATTACCAAATCTCTCATTTTAAATAAGTGTTACAGATAAATTACAGTCAAACCCAAGTCAAATAATTATAAATTGTCAATGATGGAAGTCTCTGAATTACCAAATTTTATTGTGCTCTCGACTTATTTGTAAATTCCTGTTAAAGAGATTTCAACCGAGATTTCATCGGTTGAGGGATTAAAAGACCATTCCAAATTTCATGGTGAGCCATAAAAACAGTGATAACATCAAAGCACTTTTAACTTCAGCCCTATCTAGGGAAGAAATAAACCCCAAATGTTGCTTTTATTAAAACTGGTAAGAGATGAGACGCAAATCTTTTAAATGCTTTAAGTTCCCTTTGATCTGCTGATAATCACTAACTTCTTTACCACTGGAGTTTAATAATCATGTGTACTACAAGTTTGAGCTGGCGGTGCACAGATGAGTGACCCTAACGATTTACTCAAGTTTTCTTTACTAACTGCCTGAACAGCAGGATGGGGAAGGCGAGTTCTCCGCTGCTCTTAAAGATGGATTGAGGAGGAAGGGCCTCTTAGGTTTCAGAAATGCATTGGAAACCTATCTGCTTTTAGCAGCAACCTAAGTACTGATCATAAAAATCAATAAGCCCTAAGTGATCTGGATCCTGTGTACCTCAGAGAAAGCCACTTTCCCTAGGAACTCTCTCAGCACTTGGTATTGTTTTTAAAAATGGTGTGATGGTCAGGGCTGATTAGGAAGCAAGGAGAACAAGAGAGACATGAACACGTGATCAGTGAGACCATGGGCTCTGAAATACTTCACCGGAGGAGTGCTGGCATCTCCATGAATCACACGCTGATTTACACATTTGAATGGTTTGTTAATTTTTGCATTCACATTTCATTATCTGTCTGGGAAGCTGGGGCCTTGTGTACCCTTGGGATATCCCCATCAAGTGAATGATCACTAAGGTCAGCCATCTGTGGAGTTTCTCAGAGAAGAAAAGCCCCCTGCTTTGTGTACAGTGGCGAGCTCACACACGGCTGTTCTGAAGACAACTTACTTAACTTGGAAGCATTTATTTTCCTATTTTAGATTCTTCTTGTTTGGTAGGTCTATGGCCGCGGTCTGTCCCTAAGGAAAACTAAGCTGCTGATCTGGAGTCAGCACCTGGGCTGTCTGATGTAGAATTGGGCCAAGAGCAAACCACGGAGCTGCCACCTCTTCCCCAAGGCACACCAAGGCCCTGGTGGCTTCACAGGCAGTTCTTCCCAGCAGGCACTCCTGCACACAAGGTTCCAACCCAATCAGAACAGAAGCAGTAACTCCATCTCCTTTACTCAAATACTTCAAGTGACAAGACTGAAAGGTACCCAATGTGTGGCTCCTGCCAGCCCTGCAGAGCATGACAAACAGAGACACGGCTCACTCTGTCCTCTATCTGAACAGCCATCTTAACCTTGAGGAACCTCACACGCTGCTCCTCCCTCACAGTTCTGATCCCACTGCCCTGGGACAGGGACCTCAAATCGCGCTGGGATGGAACAGGCTCCACTTCAGAGGGAGCAGCTGATGCGGAGGAGGTGAGACTGGGTGCCACGTACTTCCCTCCTCCAGCTGACACTGATGGAGCTCTGCAGAGACCCTCCACTGGAATTACTATATTTTTCTCCTCTGCCACACCTCCATTCTCTTGACAGGGATGAAACCTGTGGTTTAGGGTACAGCTACACACAGTTCCCCAGGGACAAAGCAATGACTGTCTTTGTGATACATTTCATACACTTGGCAATCCTAGGGTTATCCTCCCTTTACTGAAATGTTGGGGCAGACCAAAAAAAAAAAAAAAAAAAAAAAAAAAAAGAGAGAAAAAACAGTTCAATGTACTTCACAGGGAGATGAACTCAGGACCACGGATTCAAGGACTTTGCAGCGTGCTGGGACTTTCAGCTCTCAATAGCTCAGGTCTAAAAGCAAAAGAGTATGATCCCGGTTTTTCTTCTCCTGCAGTGATCTGCGCCCCAACACCTGAAATCTAAATCTCTCATCTGTCTCTAACATCCTGCATGTCTATCACACTTCAGAATCAGCTGTGATACGAATACACAAGAGGGAAGCTGGTTTTGTTTTGGATCCTGACCCAGCTTTATCGCTTTAGGACACATTTGTCCTCATAGGCGGACTCACAGAAAGAAAAACCTAGTCAATGCTGCAGTTACTGGTAGCCAGCACCAGGCTCAGGGGCAAAGTGGATGAGGTAGGAACGCTGGAGGCTCCCAGGGGACCTGATTTGGTCCCCAGGGACACCTGCGGTTTTCCAACTCCCGCTCCTCTGCCAGATACAAGTTCTTCAGGTTTTCTGGGAATGAGTCTGGTTTTGATCAGGAAAGTGACAAAAAGGTAAATAACGAGAAGTGCCAGTGACATTTTGGGTCTAAAGGCAGCTCCACTGCAGCTGGAAGAAGAGTGACTCATGCTTGGCAGCTCCTCCCAGGGCTGCATGAAGCCATCGCAGGTTTCAGGAAGGCGACAGAGCCAACACAAAATTCAATTCTGCTAACTGGGTATTTGTTCACGCTATTGACTAATCTCAATTTCCTCAAAAACTCCAATCAAAAGATGACAAACATACAACCTTAAACTGACTCATTAAAAATAAAATTTCTCCTAAAATAACTTCGGAAATAAAAATGATTTTGTTAAGTGTTCGTCGTGTTGCAAAAGACGTCGATGCACAGCCGACTCTGGGGTGGAAACTCCAAAGACACACCGGGATTCATCCTGCACCTCAACCTCAGCCGGTCTCGGCAGACAGTCACAAAAAGCCTGCTAAGGTTTCATTATACCTATAGAAAATATCTGTACAATACTGATGAAACACCCAATAACAATAAATAGCAACACTGCTTCCCCATCAGGGATCATATTTTATATTTTTAAGTGAAAGACTTATCCCAAGAGTGATTTATTTTAGGCCCTACAGTGAATTTAACATTTGGAATAGTTAACCAAACTGTATCTTTTTAAGATTAATTAGTTCATCAATTCAGTCTCAGTGGAGCTCAGTGAAACAATACCACTTTTCACATGTAGGGGCATCGACAGAGGAACGGAAAGCAGGGCTGGCCTCATTCCAAGTATTATTAGGCCAAACGGTGAGTCTGTCTTTAGAACCTAACTGCTTTCCTCTCGCCTCCCACACCCCTAATCCTATTACCCTCTCTGCACCTGCCTCCCTGCCCACTTCACCATGTCTCTCATGCACCCAACTGAGCAACTGAAAACTAAGAGAACCTCCCCAGAACCTCCCAGTGGCCTCTGTCTGCTTCCAACATTATTCCAACCGCCCTGACCTGACTGCTCCATGTGATGTGATGTGATGTGGTACAGAAGACACAGCACAACAGAGCCTCCGATCTACAGCTTTTACGTGTCATCAGCATCAGCAAGATGGATGCATGGATTAACGGAAGAGAACCCAAAAATGTCTGCAAAGCAGACATAACTCAAGTCATTACAATTTCCAATGATTTCAAAATGTGTTTTCTGGCATTCCCAGCATCATAAAGACCAGCTTCAAATTACATTTCTGACTCAACTTTCCTGTACCTTCAATATTTTCATGCAAAGAAACCAAGATGGTCCCACTGGGCATCTGGTGTGAAAAGGTCTCCCAGAGCACCTTCGACATGGTTTGCTCCACTCGCCCTCACCCAAGCTTCCAAGTCTCCAAATGTTTATTACTGATTTTAGTATGAATTAACTCCAACTCCTCACTCTCCAGGACCTTCTCAACTCAGTAGGATCCCTTCATGCCTGGCCTTTTTGACAGATAAATACTTTTACAAACAGTCTGGGACCCAGGTAACAGGGAACATTTGCAAGGCATCATACATCCTGGTTGTACAGACATACTGCCACAGTGATTTTTACAAAAGGGTGAGGGTTACTACAGTGTAGAATGCAGTCATCTTCTAAAAACTACACTTAAAAATGCATTCATAAGCTGGAGGTCAAAGAAAGCCTAAGTTTTAGATCGTAAGAGAGTGGTTGTACCCCACTCATCAGGAAAGCCTAGTGAATTATTCACCTCTCCCTGGAGCTCTGAAAACTGAGGAATGCAGGAAATCCCAAAAAGAAAAAACAAACAACAAAAAAAATCGTGAGTCTGAGGTTCCCAATACGACCATTTCTTCACCCACTGGAGACCTCCTCAAACCACTAACTCCAGAAGAGCAAAAACTTCCAAGTTAAAATGTTAGAGAGTAAGACTCTAAGGTCATCTGTTCACGTGGACCACAAACCAAATAATATAAAAAGGTACACGGTGAGCTGTCTCCTCCGACCTGTACTCCCACTTGCTGGCCACCACGTCCTCCCACCCCCATCCCAGGCACATAAGGAAGTTGAGTCCTTACAGCTTCTCATTTATATGGAGGCAAATCTACATACGACCCTGCCATCACAAACAGCAGTATACTGTTCTGCACTTCATTTTTAATCACTAAATATATCCTGGCGAGCTTTTCATAGACCTGAAGGGGTTCCTGGTCATGTTTATAGCTGTACAGTGCCCTGTGTGTGTGTGGGTGCGGCTGCACGTGTGCTGTGTGTAACCACGTTGCCACCAATGCCCTTGTAAGTACACACCACATGTGTGCAGGCATCGCCGTGCTAGGTGCTGGAGAGGATCCTGACCACTGTGTGTGCTTAAATAGTACTCTCTCCTGCGAAATGCTACTACAGGTGGCCCACAGCATCCTGATTGCAAGGCAATGCCACATAATCTTTAAAGATGTTTTTCCTTGTTTCATTTAAAAGGCCACAGGGAGAGCCTCTGTTTCCTGCTATGGGGTGGGGGGGCCTCTTTCTTTTCTTGAAAAAATGGAATTTAAAACATTTTTATTTTCCCTAAGAATATTTCAGGATGCTTTACTTTACATAAGACTACTGTGTCCCTTCCACCGAAAATGGGGAGCTATTCTGTACCCCACACAAGGGGATCTGGAACCAAAGGCCCTTGGGCTAGCATTTTTCTCCTCTATCACCTGAACTTGCTCATCTTTTAAGGTCCATCCTTACAAATCTGTTAAAGAAGTTTTCTGCTTCACCCCATCCTGTGGAGAAGCAACAATTCTCTCATTCTGACACGTGGATATCCACCTAACTCGCTGATCTGACACGGGTGAGCCGCATGGTGCTGAGGCCCTGGCATCCGTGGCAACCTTCCAGGCCTGTGGGTGCCAGGAGTTTCCACAGCTGAACTGGGAGCAAAGCAAGGACCGGCAGGCCGGCATCTCCGTCTCCCCTGACATACTTCGCCATGTCTCAGAGGATGGGACTGCCACGGCTGGGAACAGCCAGACAGGCCAAAACCTGAGGAGGACCACGGCCCACTGCCGTCCTCCAAGAGGGAACGTAAGCTTGTGAGCGCTGTGACCAGGGCTTGAGAGGTATATGAAACAGCGTGGGGAGATGCGTCCTTGTGCCCGTACTGGACCTGCCCCAGGAGGGGAGCTGAGCAGCCAGAACCCAGGTTTTCCTCACCCTCGCTCAGTTATTTGTGGACCCCAAAGAACCAAGAACCAACAGCAGGAAGGTCCGGAAGCGTTAAGACAACTGTGTGACATGACAGTTACTTATCTAATTCACCTTGTCCTGCTAGCCCCCAGCCCTGCACAGGCCACGATGAGCCCTGCACAGGCCACGATGAGACCTGCGGTCGCACCTCAACTGGTCTCCATCCTCACCCCATGCTGTCTCTGAAGCCTCTGGGCGGAATCCTTCCTAAAACCCTCCTCCCTGGCCTTCTGACACTCCCCTGACCCTGTCTTCATTACTCCCCGGCACTGCCGCCTCTGTACCGTGGCCTGAAGCACCACCACTGCCTCAGCCAATCCGGCCCCCACTGTCCCCACTATCCCCTCAGGCTCCGGAACCTAGCTTCAACTCCGACACCTGAGACCCTCAAAAATGGAACTGAATCATTTCTTCCCAAAGACTTCCCCACAGTTCATCTCTCGGACCTATACACTGCCGTCCGAAACCCGACATCACTCAAGTCCCCTCACTCCAGCCTCACTCATGACGTCTGCAGGACTCTAGAGTCCCCTCCCCAATCCATCTGTGTCTCTCCTCTCTCCCTGGCTATTTCTCCCCTAACCAGTCCCTCCACTCTCCAACTCAAAACCATTTTTCCCATGTTTGCACTGATACCTGTACACATTTATACGTTTCCTATGCACACACCACAGCCAGGGATGGGCTGAGACTCAGCTGGACCATTAAAACAAACGTTCTAATTCACATGTGGCCATGCTACTGCTCTGTTTTGAAGTCCTTCCATGCTGTCCAGCTCCCCTGCCATTCCTCGGGACATGACATCAGGATGCCAAAAATAAGGCCCTGCCTCTCTGGGTTTCGCTCACAGACTCTACTTTTTTCTTCTTCTTTTTTTCTTTTTTAAGACATGGTCTCTCTCTGTAACCAAGGGTGGAGTGCAATGGTACAGTCATAGTTAGATGTGGCCTCAAATTCCTGGGCTCAAACGATCCTCCCCTGCCTCAGCTTCCCAACTAGCTGGGATTACAGGCATGAGCCATCATGGCTGCCTAATTTTTTTTAAATTTTTTTACAGAGAAGGGGACTCCCTGTGTTGCCCAGTCTGGTCTCAAACTGCTGGGCTCAAGCCAACCACCCACCTGGGCTTCCCAAACCAATGGGATTATAAGCATGAGCCACCATGCCCAGCCCGTATGCCCTGGACTACACTCCCACCTCATGTGCTGTCAAGAACATGGCAAGGTGGTTCATCCCAAGCCTTCGCTCACAGAGATCCTTCCGCCCACTGTGTTCCTTCAGCTCCTTCCCTGACTGCGTGAACCTCAGCGTCATCCTTCGGGGGAGTCTTAGGAATGGATGGCCAGGTGTAGTGGCTCATGCCTGTAATTCCAGCACTTTGGGAGGCAGAGACAAGCAGATCATGAGGTCAGGAGATCAAGACTATCAGGGCCAACACGGTGAAACCCCATCTCTACTAAAAATACAAAAATTAGCTGGGCATGACGGTGTGCACCTATAGTCCTAGCTACTCAGGAGGCTGAGGCAGGAGAATTGCTTGAACCCAGGAGGCAGAGACTGCAGTAAGCTGAGATCATGCCACTGCACTCTAGCCTGTGTGACAGAGAGAGACTCAGCCTCGGAAAAAAAAAAAAAAAAAGTTGGTCTCCATCCTGCAGCCTCCCCCCAACTTGAGTCCTGCGTGAAGCCGATGGGGGGGGGG